GAGAGCTGAGCCTGCGACGTTGCGATCTTGAGCATGATTAGGATGCCATGATGCTGGGTTTGAAGTGCGTTTTGTCTAACCAGTTTACCAAGTGCCTCCTGGCTGCCCCGACAGTAGGACATACAAGATGTCCCAGGGGTTGAGGTCCTGCCCAGCAGTGCAGGAACTGGACCTGTGGTGGCTGCCTGGCCTGCTTCCCTAGAGTCCTCCGCCATACTGTGTCAGTGGCCATGTGTGGCATGAGTCCCCCAGCGCTTCCTGGACCTGCCAGGTCATGAGTCCCCCCAGGTGCTTCCTGGACCTGCCGACCTGGCAGGCTGAGTCTGGGAAAGGCTGGAGGCCAGGCCATGCAGGAAGTGACTTGCACCGCCTCCTGGCCACAGGTGACTGCTGCCAGTGGCTTTAGGCAAGCCTTCTCCCCTCACCCTGCACTGCGGTTTCCTGTGCCCTCTTGACCCCTACTACCCTCCTACAGAGGTGGGGCCAGTGCAAGTCTGTGGGCACAGAGCCTCACCACAGCCCACAACTGGCCCCTGACCAATGGCCTCTACCACACGCCAGCTGCACGGACCAGGACGGCACAGGTGATGACATGAAGGATGTTAGGGTGGTGGGTGGTAGCCCCTGCCCCGCCCAGCAGTGCCCCCGGTTGGAGGCCCACTGGCCCAGGTACACTACTGACACTAGACCCAGGGGGCCTGTGTCCGATGCTTCCTTCTCCCCTGGTTCCTGTCCCTAGAACCGGCTGCTAGTGAGCACCCACTAGGTCTTAACTGGAAGCCTGGTTTAATGGGTGACCAGCTGGTGACACATTCACCAGCACCCGGAGCTCTCAAAGTCCAGCCTCTGGGCTGAGCTTAGTCACCACCCTGCCACCTTCATGCCTCCAGTGCAGAGAGGGTTGGTGACTAGAGCAGTCTCTGAGGTGCCAGGGGAGCCTACAGTTCCTGGGTGCTCGTCTAGCTGGTGTGTGCACCCAAGACTAGTGCCAGCCTCACCTGATTCCCAAGCACCCCTTCTGGGCCCGGGCGTGTCCTGCACTAACACTGCCTAGGTGTGGACGGAGAGGGGATGAATGAATGAAACGGTGAGTCTCTGCTAGACTGGGCTCACAGTGACCGCTTGGCACTCCCCTCACCTCCCTGATCCCTGGGCAAGGCTCCAGGACCCCCACCAGATGCTTGCGGACACCTTGGAGCTGTGTGATCAGGGTCGAGGAGGGACAGCCCAGTCACTCCAGCTGACGTTCGTCTGGCGGCTCCGCTGCGGAGTGGGAACGCCTGAGGCTCCTCTGGTTCGGTGGAGTCCCGGGGTATTTGCACACTGTCCATGCCTACATCCTTCTTCCTCCTAAGACTCTTCAGGCTGCTCTCTGCCCTGGGAAAGCCAGCCTCTTTCAGCACTTGGGGCAGACTAAGGGCCCTCAGCTCAGACCAGGGACCCCTAGTCTGCAGCCGCCCCTAAACTCCCACAGGAACAATGCCCCTCCCCTCTTGGAAAGGTCCTGTGCCTTTAAAGCCCTCAGTTCAGGGCATGGGGGAGGGGAGGGAGGGGAGGAGCAGTGGTCCGAGGCCGGAGAGCATCTGGACTGTCTGGAGCCTGCTTCCTTAGCCTGGCTGCGTCCCAGTGCTGTGTAACCCCAAAGCACTGCTCACCGTCTCTGAATAGCTGGATGATAGAGGTGGGAGAGGTCAGGCTTGGTGCCCTATGAGGGGAACCTCAGTTGGGCCACATGTTCAACTGTGGTAGGGAGGAGGCCATTTCTGATGTAAGCTTCAGTTCACACACCTGTGAAATGGGTTCGAGCTGTGCTTGGGGAGAAGCGCGCAGGGTGTGGACACAGCCTTAGGCTCTTATCTGAAGGTGTCGGGTGAGTGGGCTGGGGACCACCTATCGGAGCTCCCTTACTTCCTTCCCCTCAGCTTGTAGGTGCAGGGTCCTGGCCAGGACAGTGCAGGCAGGTGTGTGATTTCTCCAAAAAAGGCTTTGGAGCTTCCAGGAAGAGGAAGCTGCTCAGAGTTGGGGGAGGGGTGGTGGCTGGTCCTGGTGTGTGGCCCTAGTGGTCTAAGAGCTGGAGGAGGGGGGATTAGGTCTCCTGGCTCCTGTTAGTTGGCCTTGGAGCGCTAAGCCCTCCTACGCCTCCGTTTCCTGGCTGGGCCGCTGTTGCTGGGATTGTGGTTGTGGTAACACCAGGTGACTTGGAGTGGACTGGGCTTCAGGATTATTGGGCTGATGGCCCCTCCAGCTGTCTGTTTGCTGGGGGTTGGTATGGAGAGGGGGTGTATGTGTGTGGGGAGGTGATGAGAGATGAAGGCTGAGCTAGCACGTCTAAATGCATACTTCTGGGGGCCTGATCTAGCCTGCCCACCTAGGCTTTCCTGCTGGTATCTGGGGCCTCTGGATGGAGGCCAGAGCTTGGGGCAGGGCCTGGGGGCTCTTCTGCATAGCCACAGTTTTGCCTGGAGTACAGCCTGGCATGACCAGACCCCTGTCAGCCTTCTCCTCTGGTCCCCCTGGTCTGCAGGATGAGGCTGGGCTAGGTTCCAGGACAGGGAGGGACAGTACCTGCTAGGCAGGTGGACATGTGGGTCATAGCTGGAGCTGAAGGGGCTGCTGGGGCCTTCTCACAGTAGGTCAGGTGGGAAGATGTGCCTCCAAAGGCAGAAAGGAGTGGGAGCAGTGTCCACAGTCCCGTTGGCCCAATTGGGTGGTCAGTTATGTGGACTGACAGCAGCTTGGCCCCTTGGAGTCCTGCTCTCTGGGCCACTCAGGTGGTTCCCAGTCGTTGACCACTAATGGTGTGAGACAGGTGGACAGTCCTGGACAGGTGGATGGTCTGGAACAGATGGGCAACCTAGGACAGGTGAATGGCCTAAAACAAGTGGACAGTCCAGGAAAGGTGGACTTACCAGACATGGGGTGCAGGGCTCCAGATCATCTGACCTCAGGGTGTCCAGGTCTGGGGCCCTACATCCCTGGTATTGTCTCCAGATGCTGGAACTTCCCTGGACTTCCAGACCCTCTGAGTAGGGTGGCCAGCTGGAGAGCCAGCCTCGATTCACCAGGGAAGTCCCAGTCTCTAGACAGATGAAGTTTGGGGATGAGGGAGGGCATCCCTGGCCAGCCCTTTCAGGCATCCAGAGTTTCAGTTGGTGGTGACAGACAAGTCCTCCACACCCCACTTAGGGCCCAGCTGGACCTCTCCCAGGGACCCTCAAGAGGTGGCAGGTGCCCCCTAGGCTAGCCCATCATTCCTGTGGGACCAGGTGGATCCTCTTCCTCTACTCTGGAGTCCAATCCAGGTCCCTGCTTGAGGATCCCCAAGGGAGACACAGGCATGGCTGGGATGCTGGGTGCAGCTGCTACACTGCTGGCCCTTCCCAGGCCGCTAGTCAGTTGCTTCCGTCCTGTGCCTAGCCCCTACTGCTGCCTGGGGCGGGGTGCTCCTAGCTCTGGTAAGCACAGGGGGACCCCCAGGGACAGCTGGGGGTGAGGCCAGGTGCCCACCACACTGCAGCCAAGCTTGGGCTCCAACATGACTTTTTTTTTTTAGTCCCTGAGAACTTAGAGGGGGGCTGGGAAATGGAAGCTTGGTCCCCCAGCGGGGTGTCTTCCGCAAAGCTGAGGTTGGGCTGCCATCCTATCCTCACCCTTCCCCCACTTGCTGCCGGTCTGAGTAGAGACTCACTTATGAGGACATATGGACAGATAGCTGCATGGGCAGGGAGGCTGGGGCCACGAGGCCACAGAGGCCCACACCGAGGTCTTGTGCGGAAGGGCAGTGTCTACTGGGACCTCAGCTCAGCCCCATCACCTGGGAAGCACGAGACTAGCTGAGGGTTGGAGCCGGTCGCCTGTGCGGGGACTGACTGTTGTCTGTGTGCTGACGTTGGACCCTGAGACTCTCTCCTCAGTGCTCCCTGCACCTCAGTCTCCATCAGAACCTGGGACCCCACCCTGTCTGGTCAGAGCCTGGGACACCCAGTGTTCTGGGCAGTGGGGCATGGTCTGGGGCACTCTGGGAGGATAAGGAGGTCAGCACTGGTCATGCTGGGCACACTAGTTTGGGTCCCATGATGATGAGAGGTGGGGACCCCTCTTTTCAGAGGTGCCTGCCAGTGAGGGATAGTGATCTCCACGTCCCCTAACATGATGGGACCCTGCGCCATCACAGCCTCACCCCCAGGTCTGCACCTCTGCCTCCAAGAGGGATTCCCTTCTCAGGCCTCCAGGACGGTTGACCAGTGCTGCCTCTATCCACACCTTTCCCTCCACTTGGGCTCACAGCCTGGGGTGCTCCTGTCCTTTCTGGATGGGGCTGGTGGGGAAATGCCCAGGGAAGACTCCCAAGGCAGGATGCTGCCATGCTGGGATGCATGATCCCTCCAAGCTGAGGAGATAGTCTCGCTTGGGCTCTCAGGTGCCAGGTGGTGTCCCGCCCAGCACAGCCCAGAGACCTCAGCTGGATGGGGAACAACAAGTGAGGGACAGTGGCTGGGCCCTCAGCACGTCCCATTCTAGGGCATCGGAGGTGCTGCCTGGCCAGAGCCCACAGGGCGTGAGGGAGACCCCCGTAACCGCTCCGTCCACTTCAGACAAGCCCGTCTGCCGCTCCTGGCTGGTTCCCCCCACGAGCCTCGGAGCCCCCACGCACTAACTGGAGGTAGGTCCTGTCCACTGCAGCTGAGCTGTTGGTTCTGGATGGAGATAGTGGGGTGCACCCTAAAGAGTGGCTAATATGCGGGTGGTGGGTGACACCGGATCAAGCTCAGGTGGGGTCTCAGCCGTACAGAGGTCCAGCTAGACGTGGTCTTTCCTGGGGCGGGCGGAGCAGAGCATGCTGAGAATGAGGAGGGGAAGCTGGGGAGAAGAAAGGGACTTAGAGACTGGGAGGCCCAGGGGTCATATCTGCAAGGCCTTGGAAATTGGTTGTTCCACATGGCTGGGCTGGGCTGGGCTGGCCCTGACCCTGCCCCTGTCCCCCGTCTGTGTCCAGAGCCATGAAGAAGTGGCACGTGGTCCTGGGTGTGCTGAGCCTTGCTGTGGTGGTCCTCGTCATTATCCTCTGCGTGCTGCTGCCCGTGTCCTCACAGGTCTCTGACCACGTGTACCCCAGGGGTGCAGTCGCCGCTGATGCCAAGCGCTGCTCAGAGATCGGGAGGTGAGTGGGGCTCCCCATCGAGAGCAGGGACCCGGGTCCAGCATGACAGCCGAGAGTGGACCCTGGTCCCCAGCTGAGATAGTTCCTCCAGCTGCTCGGGTGCTGGTGTGCACGTGGTGGTCTGTTGTGACCGCGGCTGCTGCAGCCTCTGGGCAGAGAAGGGGGCCATTTTCCAGCTGATGAATGCTGTTGTAGATTAACTCCAGTTCACGCTATGCATAAAATCCACAACCAGCACCAACTCCTGTCCAGCTGACTCGGACCCACGTGTGTCAGGGTATGGCTTGGTTCCACAGGGTCACTTTTTAAAAATAAAGCTCAAGGACATTCTTCCTCTGGGTGGGCTCAAACCTCTAACCTTGGTGGGCTGCTGAACACACTCGTCTCTCTGCACTGCCCAGGGAGAAAAGCTGGCTTCACTTGATGAAGGGATTAAACAGAAAGCATATTATTAATTTAAAAAACAACAACACCAAAACCCAACTTGCAATTCTTTCCCCCAATGACAATTCATTTCAGCCTATATTAAAAAGAAAGAGATAGAGAGAGAGACACACACCTGGAAGGTCCCTTGGTGATGAAAATGATTCACAGAGGACTCCCAAGCTAAAGATTGCTGGTTGCTATGCAATGTCGACTCCGACACACGAGCCATCATGTCAGAGCTGCCCCCAAAAGTGTGCTGGGTTTGGCTCGAGTTCTGAGCTCTTTAGTCTTAGACTTGTTGTTGTTAGATGCTATCAAGTCGACTGCAACTCATAGCGACCCTGTGGACAACAGCTTGGAACCTTGCCTTGCCCTGTGCCCCCTTCACAGTCTCCACCACCTCAAGCTCATTTTTGCCATCACTGTGTCAGTCCATCTCATTGAAGGTTCATCCTCCCTCTCACAGACTTTTCCAAGCAGGATGTCTTTTTTTTTTAAGGACTGGTCCCTCCTGACATGTCCAGAGTATGTGAGAGGTTTCACTCTCCTTGCCTCCAAGGATCACCCTTACAACAACACTTCCTCCAAGTTCCTCCAAGAAGGATTTGTCTGTTCTTTTGGCAGTTCATGAGATACTCAGTCCTCTTTAGCCACATCACAGCTCAAGAGCATCTCTTTTTCCTTCAGCCTTTATTCATTGCCCAACTTTCAGAGGTTGTTGTTATGTGCTGTCGAGGCACATGTGAGTCATAGTGACCTTATGTGCAACAGCTCTGAACTCTGCTCTATCCTGTGCCAACCTTATTGTCTGTAGCCACTGAATCAATCCAACTCATCGAAGGTCTTCCTCTCTTGGACTGGCCCTCCACCCTCCCAAATATGATGTCCCTCTCCAAGGACTGGTTCCTCTTTGCAACATGCCCAGTGTATGTCAGACGGAGCTTCAGAATCCTTGCCTCCAAGGAGCAGCCTGGTTTCACCCTCTCTAGAATGAACCTCTTTGTTCTCTTGGCAGTCCATTGTATATTCAATACTCTTCTCCAGCACAACAGCTCAAAGACATCAATTCTCTTTCTTTCATCCCCAGTCATTGTCCAGCATTCTAATGCATAGCAAGTAATTTCAAAGACCATGGCCTGTATCAGGCACACCTTAGTCTCCAAACTGACGTTGTTCTTCAGTACTCTGGAGAGGTCCCTGACAGCAGACTTTGCCAATGCAGTTTGTCTTTTGATTTCCTGACTGCTAGTACCAAGAGTATTGATTGTGGAGCCAAGCAAAGTAAAACTGTTAAGAATCTCAATCTCTTCACTGTCTATCAAGATACTACCAATCAGCCCAGTAGTGAGAATCTTTGTTTTCTTGATGTTGAGCTTCAATCAGAGGCAACTGAAAATACTGTAGCATGTTTCAGGTACACCTTATTGTACATCTTACTCTTTAGAGCTTTAAAGAGATCCTCAATGGCCAATTTTCCAAACACAATGTGTTTTGATTTCTTTACTGTTTCTGGCATGGGTGTTGATTGTGCATACGAGGAAAGTGAAATCAACAACTACATGCTAATCTTCTCTGTATCATTCCAATTTTAGTATATGTGCTGCCAAAGTGAGCACAAAATTAACAACTACAACCTTTCTCCCATCTGTCATGATATTATCTATTGGTCCAGTGGGGAAATTTTTAATTTTCTTGATGTTGAGGTGTAAACCCATCCTGAAGGCTATAATTTTTGATCTTCAGTAAATGCTTCAAGTCCTCTTTCTGAAAGCAAGATTGTGTCAAGTGTTTAAAACAGATTGTTGCTGAGTCTTCTCCAGTCCTGTTGCCACCTCGTTTCAGAGAGTCCAGCTTCTCGAATTATTTGCTCAGCGATAGACTGAATAGGCATGGAGAAAGAATACAGCCTTGACACACATCTTTCCTGATCTTAAGCCATGCAGTTCTGTTTTAAACTTTTTCTGTTTAAATGTGTGCCTCTTGGTCTATGCAGAATTTCCACAGAAATATTATTAATATTCTGGGGTTCCCATTTTCTCAGTGTTATTTATAACTTATTCCTATCCTCGCAGTGCAATGACATTGCATAGTCAGTAAAACACAAGTAAACATCTTTCTGGTATTCTCAGCTTTCTGACAAAAAAACAAGGATGCCAATAAGGATAGTCCTCATTTCACAGCCTCTTTTTTTAAATTTTTTTTCTATATTTTATTAATTTTCATAAACATTTACAGAGATTTTGGGTTTCCATTCATTCATTGTTGCATTATTCTCTCTACCCTCCTCCCAGTTTGTTCTTGTCCAAATGCCACAGTGCTTGTCAAAGCCAGTTCTGATTAATCTTCTTTGTCAGTGTGTCCTTTTCCATTCCCTATCACTCCTCCCTGAGAGAGACTTCACCCTGAGTCATAAGGAAAAGGGGATGGCGTATTCTCTTAGCTACTTCCTGCTGAAAAGGGACGCTGTGGGTTTCAGGGTGAAGATCTTCTCTCACTACTCTAAAGGGCCCCTTTGGCAGTAGGAAACACATAGACTATTATGGAGATTGATGTTGGGATTTAGATGCACTCTTATTGATTGTGCTTGGCCGTACATGTTCATATCCTTGAAGATGTATCATGGGGGTGTTGCAACCTAGAAGACACAAATTTGACTAACAAGTTATAAGTACATGAGTCCAAAAATTATGGAAAAGTAAAAGAAAAGATTCTTTCATTGTTTTACAAACCCTCCCCCAGGTCCCCTCCACCATGTAGCCCTCGCTCTAGACTCCTGTGATGACAGAAATACCTAGTTATATATCTCTTTTAAACAGTTTTCTCCCTCCTCTGTTTCAGTGCAGTATACATTATTGAACCCATCTTACTCAGTCTCTCCCCAACCCCAAGGACAGTCCCATTCTACAACAGTGGCATCATGTAATATTTGTCCTTTTGTGACTGGGATATTTCACTCAGCATAATGTTCTCCAGAGTCAACCATTTTGAATAATATTGCATGAGTTCCTTGTTTTTTAATGCAGCATAGTATTCCATTGTGCGAATATACCACAGCTTCTCTAGCCATTCGTTTGTTGATGGGCACTTAGGTTGTTTCCAACTCCTTGCTATTGTGAACAAAGCTGCAATAAACATGGGTGTGCATATATCTGCTTGGATGTCAGCTGTGGTCTCTTCAGGGTATATTCCCAGTAGTGGAATTGCTGGGTCAAATGGTATCTCTATTTGCAACTTTTTGAGAAAGCGCCATACTGCTTTCCACAGGGGTTGCACCATTTTACACTCCCACCAACAGTGTCACAGCCTCTTTTGAATCTGGCTTACATACTTGCGTGTGAGTCGACAGTGATTCATAACAACCCTAAGAACAACAAATCTGAACCTTGCCCTTTCCAAGAACTGGCCACTCTTGGCAACATGTACGAATAACGTGAGATGAAGTTCCACCATCCTTGCCTCTAAGGAGCAGCCAAGCCTGGCTGCTCTTCCTCCAACTAGGATGGTCGGTGCTTTTTGCCAAGACCACAACTCAAAGGCATTGATTCTTCTGTCATCTTGATTCCTTGTCTGACTTTCAGATGCATATGAAGTAATTGGAAAACACCTGGCTTGCTTGAGTCAGGCCTTGGCACGGCTAGTGAGCAAGCACATCCAGGGCTGCATCTGTTTGTTGAAACACCTTAATGAGTATCCTGTCAATTCTTGGGCCTTATATTTTTGTCAATACCTTCAGTGAATTTTTCCTTTAGTTCTATTAGTTCTTGATCATAATCTATGACCTGAAATGGTCAGGCTGATCAGTTCTTTTTGGCACAGTGAGTCTGCGTTCCACCCAGCTTTTGATGCTTTCTGTAGCATTCAACGTTTTGCCCACAGAATTTAGTATTGCAATGTGAGTCTTGAAATTTGAGATTGCCTGTCATTCTTTCACGGAGCAGCTGGTGGATTTGAACTACGTGCTTTTGGATAGCAGCAAAGCGCCTTACCCCCAGGCCACCAGGGCTCACTCTAGCTTCTCTGCCTTTAGGGAATCTTCGATGGGTTGCCTATAGGGAGTTTCACTGTTAATCCAAAGCCCTTGCCTCTGGCAGTTCAAATCAACAGTCTCTTCCCAGACAGTTAACAGCCTCAGAAACTTGACAGAAGGTCAGCTGTGAGTCAGTTTGGATTTGACAGCAGTGAGTTTTCTCTGTTCAAGAGCAAGTTTCAGTCTCTTCTGACATCCATTTTGGTCTTTTCTTTGTTTCTTGTCCTTATAATGACCTTTTGCTTTCTTCACATATGATGATGTCCTTCCACAACTCATCTGGTCTTCAGTCACAGTGTGCACTGCACAAAATTTATTCTTGAGACAGTGTTTAAATACAGATGGGATAAACTCAAAGTTGTATTTGGGCTCTTGAGGATTTGTTCCGATTTTGTTCAGCTTCAATTTGAACGTGCATGTGAGTAATTGATGGTCTATTCCACAGTCAGCCCCTGCCCTTGTTTGTTGTGTGGGTTGTTTGGTGTTTGTTTGTTTTTTTTAAATTGGTTTGCATACAAAATTCATACACATCATGTGTCATTCATGTATATTGTGTTTCACACATTCCTTCACTCACACTGTTTCATACGATCATTCCCATTACACTGTGTTTTATAAAATGAATCACCATTGTTCTATGCCCACTATCACCCTGTCTTTTCAGGTCCCCACTGGATCTTTCCTAATTCCTTGACCCCCTCCTTCCACCCACGCCTGGCCTTGTTTTGACTGCTGATATTGAGCTTTTCCATTGACTCTTTCCACAAATGGAGTCAATCTGATTCCTTTGGCCATCAAGTGAGGTCCATATGTATAGGTGCCCTATGTGTGATTTTAAAAAAAGTTATTTACTATGATCAAATCATTGATTGCTCTGAAATCTAACATGCCACCTCCCAGCCTATTTCTGTCACCAATGCCATATTTTCCAATTATCAAGACTTCTCCTTCATCTCTAACTTACCTCAATTTCTTCATCTGTGGCTTATAGTTGATGTGTACAATTGAATGCTAGTCTTTTTTAAAAAAAATATTTTATTAATTTTAATGAACTTTTACAGAGGCCTTGGATTTCCATTCATTCATTGTTGCATTTTTCTCCCTGCCCACCCCTTCCCAGCCCCCTGCCCCCCTCCCCCAGTTTGCTCTTTTCTTTGAAAAGTAAAAGAAAAATTCTTTCATTGTTGAATACTAGTCTTATTAACAGGTCTTCCTTGTATTCATGTGGATATTATCCTATTGTTGACAGAACTATAGTTCAGGACAGATCCTGAAATGTTCTTTTTGATGATGAATGTAACACCATTCTTTTTTCAATTTGTTTTCATTATAGTAGGTGCTGTGATTGCCTGATTCCAAATGGTCAACACCAATCCATCTCAGCTCCCTGATGCCTTAAGTCTTGATCTTTATGCATTGCATTGCATTCTGAAGAGCTTCCAGTCTTCTAGATTCATATTTCAGACATTCCATGTTGCAGCTATTAATGGTTATTTGTTTCTTTGTTGTTTTTTAAAATTTTTTTTATTACTTTTTATTTTTTTTAATGTGTGTACCGTCAAATCAGATTTGACTGGTACAGGAGGAGATTGTCCCTCCTTCAGCAGAGCATCTGGTGGATTTGAACCTCACATCTCTGTGATTGCAGTGCAGCTTCTTGCCACTAGGCCACCAGAACTTGCCTATTAATGGTTATTTGTGCTGTGGTCTTGCCACGCTAGCAAATGAAGACCCTTCACCGGGTCCATTACAGTGGGCACTCCTCCCAGCTGCGTGTTGAGTGCCTTCTGACCCGTGGGCCCCTCTACCAGCAACTTATCAGACAGCAGCCAGTGCTATTTAGACAGGTTTGCTGTTTCAGAAAGGGATGACCAGTCCTGCTTCCTAGTCTATCTTATTCTGGAGACTCTGCTGAAACCTGTCCAACAGTGATGGCATGCTGCTGAGTCAAGTTTGACACATAGTGACTCTGAACAACAGATCTGAACCCTGTCCTGTCCTGTGCCATCCTCACCATATCTGAGCCCATTGCTGCCATCACTGTCAGTCCATCTTGTCAAGGATCTTCCTCTCTTTCACTGACCCTTCACCTTTCCAAGGATGATGTTGCTTCCCAAGTAATCGCCTCTCCTAGCAAGATGCCCAAAGCATGTGAGACTTAGCTCTGTCATCTTTGCCTCTAAGGAGCATTCTAGCTGTACCTTCTCTGAGACATGTCTGTTTGTTCTTCTGGTGGTCTGTGGATATTCAGTACTCTTCTCCAGCACCACAGTTCAAAGGCATCAATTCTTCTGATTCATAGCAAGTGACTGAAAAGATCATGGCCTGGATCAGGCACACCTTAGTCTTTAAGCTGACATCATTACTCTTCAATAATTTGGAGAAGTCCCTGACTATAGACTTTCCCATTGCAATACCTCTCCTGATATCCTGACTGCCGGTACCAAAGGAGTTGACTGTGGATCCAAGTGAGGTCATTGAGTTTCAATCTTTTCTCTATCTGGCTTCCAACATCACAACAGCAGAGGAGCCAGCTCCATGTGACAGACAAGTGGTGGACCGGTTAGTGCCATCAAGTCAGTCCTGACACATGGTGACCCGCTGTGTGCAGGGCAGAACATCCCCTGCCTTCCAAGGTGTTTCCAGGTCAGCCACCTGGGACTCCTGTTTGGGCATTGCTGTTGTGTACCCTCAAGTCAGAACTGTCCCATGACTGACCCTCTGGAGGGTTTTCAGAGGCAGAAAACTCCAGGGAAAGAGCCTGCCCATCTTTCTCCCAGGAGCAGCCAATGGATCCGAACTGCATGCCTTCCTTTTGGCAGCACATCTTCTTACCACTAGGCCACCAGAGCTCCCCTCTCCCAAAAAGACAAACCTAACCCTTTGAGCCCATCCTGGCTCCACAACTTGGTATTGGGTTTCTGGGCCTTAGGTTTTCACAGGAGCGTGCTGCTGTCTCTCTCTGCTGGAAGGGCCTGGTGTGCTGGAACCCACCAGTCATTGCCTTGATGTTATCTGGCCACATGTTTTAGAGTTCTACGTGTTAAAAATAAGGTCTTCCTTTGAGCAGAGGTGCTGCGCGGGGTGTGGGTGCTGGTCATGAAGGTCTGGCTCTCCACACTTGCAGGGACGTCCTACAGGATGGTGGCTCAGCGGTGGACGCAGCTATTGCAGCTCTGCTGTGTGTGGGCCTCATGAACGCCCACAGCATGGGCATCGGGGGAGGCCTGTTCTTCACCATCTACAACAGCACCACGAGTGAGTGTCTGTGGCTGGAGCAGCCGGGCTAGTCCTTGTGGGCTGCATGTGGACTTCAGGACACCCAGTGGGCCACCCCTGGGCTCATGTGGGGTGGGGGCAGCACTGCGGCCGGTCTGTGTGGGCTGGACATGGATTTCAGGATGCACAGTGGGTTGCCCCTCGGCTCACATGGGGTGGGGGTGGCACTGGGGCCAGTCTGTGTGGGTTGGATGTGGAGTTCAGTATGCACGGTGAGTAACCCCTGGGCTCACATGGGGTGAGAGCAGCCGTGGGGCACTGGGGCCATGGAGTCCAGGATACACAGTGGGTTGCCCAGGGGCTCACATGGGGTGGGGGCCATGCTGGTCTGGTCTGCCTACCACCTGCCTGTCCTCCAGGAAAGGCTGAGGTCATCAATGCCAGAGAGGTGGCCCCTGCACACGCCTCATCCACGATGTTCAATAACTCACAGCAGTCCCAGGAAGGTAAGGGTGCAGCCCTCCCCAAGGACTTGCTCCTACTGCCCATAACACCCTCCTGCAATAAGCGGCCAAGGCCATTCTCACAGGGGTCAGGGCTTCTAGTGCTTCCAGGCCCCTCCAGCCTTTTCCATACAGGAAACCAGGGCTTCAAACCAGCATGCTGTCATGCCCAACAGAGCACAATCAGAATAGACTCAAGTTTATTAATGTGGATGAACCAGAACAATAACCAGAACAGGAAGAGTTGAGGACTGGAAACCTATAATGGGAGACTCAGACAAGACACAAGGAGCCCTCGGAGGAGCTGACGTGGGAGCAGGGTTGCTGTCAGGACCTTGGAGAGCAACACACACCCAATACTAGGGTGCTGGCCGCCATCTTTGGTTGTCAACTTGGCTGATCACAGAGTTTAGTAACTATGCTGCACGCTGCCCCTGTTGTCTAAAAAGGAAATTATGTTTCCAGCAGGACTTCAGCCTATAGCTTTTCCTGTTTCAGGTAAAGATTTGTGCTGCTGCTCTCTCTTGGGGTTTGAATCCATCAGGCACTAGAGGAGAGAAAGACAAGCAATCTTCCCCCGTGCAATTTACAGTTCTTGAAAACCCACTGCAGGGTCAGCTGTGAGTTGGTTCCAAATCCTGGAAGTGACTGCGTTATCATTTGAGCCCACTCACATTTTAAAAACTCTGGCCTTCCCTAATCTCACTTTATCAGCCATGCATGAATGGGGCAGGAACCAGGGTCATATGGCCTGGCCTTGCTGGGGTGACTCTCCGCTTAGTGCCTCTCAACACCCTCCCCACAGTGGGCCCCTGAAGCCCTCCCTGTGCCCTTAGAGAAGGCACCATGGGGGTTCCCATTTTACAGATGGGCATACTGAGGCCCACAGGGGTTGTACAAATTGGCTAGGAGATGGTGAAGCCAGGATTGAGTCCAAGCTATCTAAACCTCACAGCCTGTGTCCCAAGCCACCTACTGAACAATTTGTTCATTTGCTCACTTATGGGATAGCCTTCTAGGGTTTGGGGCTGAGAAAGAAGAAAACAGCAGTTCCCTCTAAGTCCACTCTGACTTGTAGTGATCCTATGCATATCAGCATTGAATTATGCTCCATACAGTTTCCAAAGAATGATATTTTGGAAGCAGATAGCCAGGCCTTTCTTCCTAGTGCCTCTGGGTGAGACTGACCCTTTAACCAATAAGCATCATCAACAAGCAATAGCTTGCACTGCCCCAGGGAGTCACCTGTCTGAGAGGATGGTCCCATACTCCCCCAGGCAGGGAAGGGCAGCCCACTGGCCACAACAGGGTGCTGGCTAGCTTGAGGAATAAGAAAAGGGAGGGGCAGGGGCTCTGTGCACTGCTACAGGCTGGCCCTGGGCGGTCCCTGTGAGGAACATCACACTGACTGCATTTTAACAAGTGAAAAATCTAGAATGGAGAGAGATTCAGTGCTAATCTGATGGGGTCTTGGGATTGATCCATTTATTGAAATAAACCTTATTGAGCAGTACTCAGAGTGCTGGGAGCCGCATCCTAAAGCAGAGTACAAACCTGGGTCAGGAAAACCAGAGTCTTTGTCACACTGGCTTTCCAGGTAGGAGAGAAGAGCTGAGAGGAGTACTGGGGAGGAGGAGATGCGGCCAGGCCTGGAAGCTGTGGTGGTGGGGTGGGGAAGGACAGGGCCTGCTGGGGGCCTGGACGCTGTGGCAGCCAGTGCATGGAGGGTCAGGAGCAGCTCACAGGCCCTCAGGAAGACCCTGACTCCTGTCTGAGTGAAATGAGGCCCCAGGACACTTGGCCCACATCTGTGAAGTCACTGCAGCAGTCCAGCAGGGAGGCTGTTGAGTTCACTGGGACCACCCAGGCCAGCCTGGGGCAAAGCTTGCAGCCCGAAATGGGGATCCCTCCCGCATTGGCCTCTCCTCACCCTCAGCTCCTCATGCCGGTCCTCCCCTAACTGGTCTCTCTCCAGCAGCGCCCTCTGCTGGACACTGGCCTCCCCTCAGCTGCCTAGACCATGTGGGGCCTCCTCTCTGCTTAGAGGGAGCTCTGGGCCAATAGCTCATGCCATGCTGGGCTCTAACCCGTGGGTTCACAGTTTGAATCCACCAGCTGCTCTGTGAGAACTAGATGAGCTGTTTCTTTCTGTAAAGTGTCACACTTCAATAACCCAATAGTGACTCTTTGAGAGAACAGCTCTTTGGAATTTATTTGACAGAAGGGGATTTGATCACGATTCCAGTTAAGGGGTGCCCTGGAGGCACAAGTTGTTTGTGATCAATCATAACCTGAAGTTGGTGGTTCCAGTCTACCCAGTTTGAAAAAAAAAAAAAAAGAAAACACCCTGGTACTCAATCCTGTATGGAGATCTGGTGGCCTAGTGAGCAAGGAGCTAGGCTGCCAACCCAAAGCCACGCAGTTTGAACCCACTGGTTGCTCTATGGGAGAAAGATGGGCAGTTCCCTCCTAGGCTCTTTACAGCCTCTGAAAACCTGCTGGAGGGTCAGCTATGCGTCAGCTCTGACTCAACAGTACACAACGACAATCTACCCTATAGCAGCCCCAGAATCACCCTGATGATTTCTGTTTTCATCTGCTGAGAAAACCAACCCTCAGGTGTTTGGAAAAGGAACACTCCCCTGCCCCCCATACTCCAGCAGGCAACCCCCGCATGTAAGCAAATGTAGAGATGGATTTGTGATGAGATGGGTGTGACCTGGGCAAGAAGGGCAGGGCAAGAGGAGCTGAAATGCCCCCTCATCTCAGAGTGAAGGGCGTAGGGCCCAGGCCTAGCTACCCTTTCACAAAGAGAGGAGAGTTCATGTGGGCAGCAGGGCCTGGAGAGAAGTCAAGTCACAGGCCTCACAAGGTCAGAGGGAAGAACACCCTTTAGTCAGTCAGCTGGGGAAGCAGGCTCAGAGAGGGCCCAAGGTGAGGGTTCTGGACAAATGGGGACTGGGGAGTGCTCGTGGGGCTGGCTCAGCCTTGAAGGGCAGCCTGGTGTGAGCTAGAGGCTGGCCAGAGCCCTCTGGTCTGGAAGGTGCTAATGGAGCTCAAGAGTCTTCCTGGACAGCTGTCCTCTCTCAGCCTCACTGGGTGTCCATTGGCCTGGTACCAGCTGCAGACACAAAGGCCCCGTGTGGATAGTCTTCTCAGTGTCCGGTGTTGTTAGATATAAAAAAGAGTGCGAGGGAGAGAAATAAAGAAAGGAATTGGTCCCAAGAAATGAACAGGCCTTTATTGTGCAGTCTGAGAGGGACGCCAAGTGACCCAGCCGCATGGCATGCAGACAGAATCAAAATGGCACGTGGGCAGTTTGGGGGGTTTCCTTTTTATAGGGGTCCTGGGGAGGACTAAGGTGGTACTTCTTGAAATTTGGCTTGTTAATTAAGTTAGGTTTTAGCTTTTTAAATCAAGCTCGGACTCTTATCAGGATCCATTGTCTGGTCTGATCTTCGATGTGATCAGCTTAGGTGTTACCAAGTTTCTCAGGAAGTGATCAAGCTTTGAGGTGGGGGGCAACTGCCATATTCTTCCTTCACATGTGACCTACCATCCTCGCCACACCCAGTCCACATGCCACCCTCCCCACACAGGAGCTTAGAACCATTCCCACTGGGGAATCCCGCTGGCCACATGTGAGTGCGCTGAGGGAGACCCTAACTGTCCCAACTCTGTGACCACAGGGGGTCTCTCGGTGGCCATTCCCGGGGAGATCCGCGGCTATGAGCTGGCGCATCAGCGGCACGGCCGGCTGCCCTGGGCCCGCCTCTTCCAGCCCAGCATCAAGCTGGCCCGCGAGGGCTTCCCTGTGGGCAAGGGCCTTGCTGCCGCCCTGCAGAGAACTCAAGATACCATCCACCGGTATCCCTCGCTGTGGTATGTTCTGAGGACAGGCTCCGGGGGCATAGGTGGGGACAGGGGTGGCCCTAGGAGCCCCAGGTGGTGAGCTGATGAAGGTACAAGGCAGAGAGCCACAGGCCATTCCTGCTGTAGAAGGGGGTGCCAGAGGACTCCGTGGTCAACCTGGGTGGGGCCTTTGGAGGTATGGGGACACCCGGGAGGATATCCTCAGTGGAAAGGCTGCATGCCTGTGGACAGGAGGTGGCTATCCCTGTGTGAGTGGGCTAGAGAGGAGGATCCTCACAGGCCCCCCCTGAACCCCCTTTTTCCAGTGAGGTGTTTTGCCGGAATGGGAGGGTGTTGCAGGAGGGGGAGCACGTGGTGATGCCAAAACTGGCTGATACCTATGAGACGCTGGCCAAGGAGGGTGCCCAGGCCTTCTACAACGGGAGTCTCACTGCACAGATTGTCAAGGACATCCAGGAAGCTGGTAAGTGTCCTCAGCCTGGGCCCACAGAAGGCGGTGGGCAGGAGCCACGTGGGAGGATGAGGGTGGGGCCACAGCAGGAAGTGGGGGGCCATAGGGGCGGAGCCACAACATAGCTAGGCAGGGCCATTGCATCGTGGAGACAGTGACAGGGTGGGACCACAGAACGAGAGGGTAGGGGGTATCAGGGCCAAGAGTGAAACTGGACGTGACCACAACAGGGTGGGGCAGATCGAGATAGATGGGGACCGGCCACAGCCTAAGGAGTTGGGCATGACCAAGGCGTGGCAGGTGGGCAGGGCGAGCCATGTGGGTGGTGAGGTGTGTGGACGGCTAGAGTGGGCCTTAGGACCATCTGCTGCTGCAGCCCTTGTTAAATTCAAAGCAAAGAGGCTAAATTCTGCAAGAGAAAGGCCTTAGGACCAGCAGTGGACTGAGAGCTGGGAGGATGGGTCAGGCAGGGCAGGGAGAACAGAAGACCAGCAGAGGGAGGAGAGGAATTTACTTCAAGGGATGGCTCACTGGTTTACACAGTAGTGAGACTGACAGGTCCAAACTTCATAGGTCAGGTGACGGGGAGGGGAACGGGGGAGTGCGGGCACTCCTGGCCAACACAGTCATGTATGCACAGGAGGCCAACCACACACTTAAGGGAATGCCCTTTTAAACCGATTAGTAAGCTGGGTCATGTCTCATCACGAACAGTAATTGAATGATGTGGCGTGAGGTGACGTGATGGAGTAGCCACCAGTCTGTCCACTGTCTGGCTACACCACTGAGTCACTGCCCAGCCAAGGAGATGCACTGAGGGAGGGGTGGCTGTGGCTGGTGCTAGCACCCAGGGTGGGGACTTGGTGGTGTTTTATGGTGCTGGCTGGTTAGCCTGTCTTTGAGGAGGTGGCCAGCATGTACACTTTACCAAGCCAACCTGTGTCTGTCTGGAGCAGGTCCCTTAGAAGATGGAGAGGCCATAGCCAACCTTAGGAGGGTCAGGCAGGGTGGATGGGACAGAAATTTCAATCAGAGAAGACAAGCCCCTGGTGGGAGCTGGCCTGGTCATGCTGGACAGAGAGGACAAAGAGTTTAGAGGATGGACACAGAGGCAGCTGGAGCCCTGCAGGGTGGAAGCCCACCTTAATAGCACTGTCTGCCAACAGCACGGCCTGTCCCCTGAGGCCACAGCCCTACCCCTGTCCACTCAAGCCTCTGTCCTCTTGCAGGGGGCATCGTGACGGCTGAAGACCTGAACAACTATCGGGCAGAACTGATCGAACACCCGCTGAACATCAGCCTGGGGGACTCCATCCTTTACACGCCAAGTGCCCCCCTCAGTGGGCCAGTGTTGGCTCTCATTCTCAACATCCTCCAGGGTGAGGGTCCCAGGCTTGAGGCGTGACCCTGTCCTTCTGTCAACACGTGTGTGTGGTGTGGTGTCAGGGACAGTGTGGTGATGGGCAGTGGGCTGTGGTGTGAGCAACCCTTGGGACTGTTGTAGAAACCCCCATTTCCCCGAGGCCCAGGCTGCCTCTGCTGCCCCACAGCAGACCCAGGGCCCTTGGGCACCCAGCTCTTAGCTCTTGCCTTCTTGCAGTGGGTGGAAGCAGTTGGGCTGGAGGATGGTGCCCCAGCACCTGCTGACCTGTACTTGGCTTGCCCAAGCAGGGTACAACTTCTCCCCAGAGAGTGTGGAAACCCCCGAAAAAAAGGGCTTGACATACCATCGCATTGTGGAGGCCTTCCGCTTTGCCTATGCCAAGAGGACCCTGCTTGGGGACCCCAAGTTTGTTGATGTTACTGAGGTAAGGGGCACTCCAGCCTCGTGCTGGCTCAACTAATTCATGTGCACCCCAGACTGGTTGTAGGTTTAGATGATATGTGCTAGAGGTGGGACAGTGGTCTGGGGCCTGGACAATGGCTTAGAAATGAACAGTAGGTTGAGACAGGACAGTGGATTTGGGGGTGGATCAATGGTGTGGCAATAGGTTATGGCCTGGGGATGGACAGTTGGTTGGAGTCCCAGGCTCCTGGCCACTGGCCCTAAAGAGATTGCAGCATGAGGAAGACCAGGCCCAAGTCCTTTCCTCAGGTCCCCCTTGACCTCCTTAGCATCTTGGTACCCAAGGCTGGCATTCACAATGGACTTGCAATACTCTCTGCTAATGTAGGCCAGGGACCCCCCCTAGAGGACCTTCAACTGCTTGAAGCACCCCCAGCTCCCCAGCCTCTCTCTTGGTCACCATTTCACACCTTCCTCTTTCTCTACCTCAAACCGTCCCTCATTGTAGCCTGCCATTTGTGTCCCAGAAGTGGTAGACATTGTCATCTGTGCACCAGAAGCAACAGATGCTGTGTTACCTGCATCCCAGAGGTGATAAGACTATGCCATCTGTCATCTGAGTCATAGAGGTGACAGGTGTTATGGTGGCACCTGTGTCCTGGAGGTGACAGGCTCTCCATTGTGTCCATTCTCTACCCTCTCTGATTCAGACTGGAGTTCCTCCATCACACCTCCCTGCCCTGCCTCACCACTGCCACTTTAACATCCACCCTTGTCAGGGAGAGAAGCGTGCTGTTAGTCTTCTTGAAGGTGTCCCTGGTGGTGCTGGGTTGACTGTTCAAACCCACTGAGTTGCATCAAGGGGAAAAATCTTCCCAAAGATCTCAGCCATTGAAATGCTATGGCGTAGACTTTGCTCTGCCACATGGGATGTTGTGGGTTGGAATCAGCCAATGGCCACTGACAATGTTTCCTGGCCCTCTACTCCCTGTCAGAGCGAGCAGAACCAGGACCCTGCAGCCCTAATTCCTGGCCCCCTCCACTCCCCTGCTGATGGGCTCCACCCTACCAGCCTCAGTTTACCTTCCAGCCCCTCTCAGTAGCATCACACACGTCACCACATCTACCCTCTGTGCTCAGCTCCCCATTCCACAAATTCCCACATATTCCCCCTGAGTCAGTGGAACCCCTCTTCCAACCTGATGTCACCAGTCTCGTCATATAGGCAGATCTAGCTCATTGTCACCCAGGCCTCTCGCAGTGTGGGACTCCATGGGGCTTCTCTCTCGGTGGGTTCAAACTCACAACCATTTGGTTAGCAGGCAAGCACCCAACCTCAGCCTGAGCCCCCTGGGAACAGTGCTCAGAGTTGCCAGCAGGCAGCAGGGTGGGTTGCCAGGGCCACACGAACACCCTGGGAAACACGTGGTCTTGGAGTGCTGGTCGTGGGGTCCTGGGGCCTCTCCAACAACCCTGTGCCCCATCCCTGCCCTTCACCTTCCTCAGGCCAGCTGTGGGGTCTCTGCAGGTGGTCCGCAACATGACCTCAGAGTTTTTCGCCGCCCAGCTGCGGGCACGGATCTCAGATGACACCACGCACGCGGCTGCCTACTATGAGCCCGAGTTCTACACGCCGGATGATGGAGGCACAGCGCACCTGTCCGTGGTCTCTGAGGACGGCAGCGCTGTGTCCGCCACTAGCACCATCAACCTCTAGTAGGGGCCCTGGGCACTTGTGGGGGGGAGTCAGGTGCCTGGGGAGGGCAGGCTTCTGCCAAGACTGCCTACTTGTGGGGGCGGGGCTCTCCACAGCCTGGGGGGGGGCTCCGCCTACCCTGGGCGGACTCTTCTAGGAACAGGCTCTCTATGGGGGCGGGGCTCCTTGTGGGGGCATGGTGCTGCACCTGACAGATGTCCAACACTGCTGTTCTGAAGCTTCGGCTCCAAGGTTCTCTCCAGGACCAGTGGGATCCTGTTCAATGATGAAATGGACGATTTCAGCTCACCAAACATTACCAACCAGTTTGGGGTACCCCCCTCACCTGCCAACTTCATCCAGCCAGGTATAGGAAGGGGTCTTGGGTAGGGTGGGGACTGAGTCTCGGGCAGCAGGGCTTACTTGAGATCCCCCCTACTTCTGTCCACTCCAGGGAAGCAGCCTCTTTCCTCCATGTGCCCCACAATCATTGTGGGCCGTGATGGCAAAGTCCGCATGGTGGTGGGAGCATCTGGGGGCACACAGATCACCACAGCGACTGCACTGGTACGTGCCACCCGCTGCCATCAACTGCCACTCTGCTACTCCCTGTGACTCCCTGCTACCCCTGACCCCCCCGCTACTCCCTGCCATCCTCTGTTACCCCCTGCCACCGACTTGTCACCCCTACTACCCCTGACACCCCCTGCTACCCTATCACCCGCTACAACCTCCTGTTACCCCCTGACACCCCCTGCTACCCCCTGCCACCCCCTGCTACCCACTGACACCCCTTGATATGCCCCGACACTCCCTGCCGTCCCTTGCCACCCCTGCCACCCCCTTGTCACCCCTACTATCCCTGCCACCTCTGCTACCTGTCACCCCCACAACTTCCTGTTACTCCCTTGCACCCCCTGCTATCCCCCGACACTCCCTGCTACCCCCTGACATCCCCTTGTCATCCCTACTACCTCGACATCCCTTACACCCTCCTGTTACTCCCTTATACTCCCTGCTACCCCATCGCCCCATGCTACCCCCTGACAACCCAAACCCCCTGCCACTCTCTGCTACCCCATGCCACCCCCTACTGCCCCCGGACACCCCCACTGTCACCTGCTGCCACCCTAACTATGCTGATGCCTCTGCCCCACCCCCAGGCCATCATCTACACCTTGTGGTTTGAGTACAACGTGAAGCAGGCGGTGGAGGAACCACGGCTGCACAACCAGCTCCTGCCCAACACCACGACACTTGAGAAACACCTGGATCAGGTGGGCTGGAGGGGTGAGGGCACCTAGCTGAACCCCTCATCTATCAGGTCTGGGTCTGAATCTTCTGCTGGGCTGGTGGTGTCCTGCACCTGCCTCACTGAGACCCCCCAACTAGGTGGTGACTTCTGCCCTGAAGAACCGGAACCATGAGACAAAGGTCACCTCCACTTTCATTGCTGTGGTGCAGGCCATCGTCCGCACAGCGAATGGCTGGGCAGCTGCCTCGGACTCCCGGAAAGGCGGGGAGCCTGCTGGTTACTGAGAGCGGGGCGCCCAAGTTGACCAGCAGCCCAGGGACAGGACGGCTGAGAAGCCCACAAATGGGACTTGGAGGCCTGCTTCTCCATGGAGTGACCAAACAGCACAATAAATGGGCCACAGTGCCAGGCTCTGGAAAGCCGCTTGGCCTCACCATCCTGTGTGTGAATAGACTTGTAGTCGTGGGGGCCGACTGGGGTTTACCTTGAGCCTGTGATCAACAGTACTGCTTCCTTGTCAAGCATTGACACCTGCCTGCGATATCATCTGGGCACCCTCCTCAGCCCACTGGCCCATGAGGGAGGCTCAGGGCCCACTCTGTGACATGGAGGTGGAACCAAGGTCTAAAAGGAAATTGGGCAAATGACCAGAGTCCAGTCCTTGTTTCAGTCATGGGACCTCAAGTGACCAGACTCCAGGGTGGGTGGATGAGCTCCAGGGTCAGCTGAGGGTGGCGCCAGGTCTGTGGGGTCAGGGCTGGGCTGGCTGAGCACTTAACTGGAAGAGCTCCCTCAGGCTCAGCTGGCTAACTTGGGCTCACACACTTGTAGCCCCAGACCACAGGCAGATGACACCAAGCAGTGAACGTGGACTCTGGGTCTGGGGAAGCCAGGGCTGAGTACTGTAAGGGTCAGGAGAGCCTGGGGCTCCTGGAGTACTTATGGAAATGGGGTTATAAGTGTGAGCTACTCCCCTCCCTCCTCACTTTCTCATTGGGGATTGGGTCCCTGGTGAGGGATGGAGGCTGAATCTCTAAGACAGGTCCTTAGAGAGGAGTGAGGCCTAGGTTCCTGGAGGAGGGGAGCGCTGGGTCCTGAGGGAGGGTGGAGCTGGATCTCTAAGGAAGGATGGGGGCTGAGTCCCCAGGGATGGATGAGGGGGTTGGATCTCTAGGGAGGGGTGGTTCCTTTGAGAGGTGTAGGGGGCTGGATTCTTGGGAAGGGATGGAGAACTGCGTCCCTGAGGAGTGATGGGGGTGGGATCCTGGATACCCCTGGGAGGACTGGGGCCTAGGTCACCAGAAAGGGTTGGGGGTGGAGCTGTAGGTACCAGCAGAAGGGCCTATTGCTATTGAGTTGTTCTGGCTCACAACCCCCTCTGCACGACAGAACAGAAGTTCCTCATAAAGTCTGGGACAAGGCGTAAAGAAGATATAAGAATGGATGCTTTCACTTCCTCTTCCAGAGACGCTGTATAGAGGCATTTAAAATGGTCCAGCGTCTGACCCACCATCATAGACTGTCCTACAATACAGCCTCTAACAAAACTGGGCTGTCCCGAACCCCGGGAACAGAATTGTTTACTTTTATACCAAGAAGGTTGGAAAAGCACCAAAATCTGCATCTGGTGTGTGCCCGGGCCAACTAAGAGGGGTCCATACTGTGAGACCTAAAGTTCTCATGAGGTTGTCAAAAACAAAAAAAGTACGTCAGCAGAGCTTACGGTGGTTCCATGTGTGCTAAGTGTGTCAGTGACAGGATCAAGCGTGCTTTCCTTATTGAAGAGCAGAAAATTGTGAAAGTACCGAAGGCACAAGCACAAAGTCAGAAAGCTAAATAAAAAATGGTGCATCTTTAATAAATTCATACAATTTGTTCTATTAAAAAAAAAAAAAGAGAATGGTTGCTTCTGTGATGGTATCCGTAAACAGCGTTGGAGAGGCCTTGAACTGCCAGGAGAACAAGCAAGTCTGTCTTGGAAGAAAGGTTCTCTGGACAGCTCCTTAGCAATGAGGAGGGCGGGACTTCATCCAGCTCATGTGCCTTGGGCACCTGCTCAGGAGGGCCTGCACCCTGGAGGAGGACGTTGTGCCTGGTTAAGTAGAGGGCCCATGTAAAAGAAGACCCTCGAGGAGAGAGGTGAGTGCGCGGTGGCTGCAGCAATGGCGCAGACGTGGAAACAATGGTGAGGACAGCACTGGGAAAATGCGAGGTCTCTGCTCTCCCTGAGTGGGGTCACGGTGAGCCAGCGCTGACTTGGAGGCATCCAGCAAGAGCACTGTTACCTGTACAGAAGGCTGCCATGTCTCTCCCAAAGAGGAGCTGTGGGGTTTGAACCACCAGCCCTTTGGTCAGCAGCTTTAGTTTCAATGTTCTTGGGAGAAGACTGTGGCTCCATTAGCAGGACAAAGGCTGCAGCTGAGGGTGCTTTGCTGGGGGGTGTCCAGCCAGCTCAGACCTGGAGTTTCCCACTAGCCTCTGACTCAGCCTTCTTGTCATCCCATCCCCTCCATCCCCCACCCCCGACCCTGTTATCTCCCGGGCCAAGACCCTCAAGTCTCCATGACCCTGTGCTTCTGATAAGCCCAATATGACGCTTCTTCCTGTCCCTGAATCCTTGTTGGGGTGACCCCTGTCCATGGTCTCCCAGACTTTGTGGGCTGGTCCTGCTCCAGGAAGACTCTTTAGCTCCCGCTCAAACAATGATGTTAAGATGAAGGAGGCCTGCTGGAGGCCAGAGTGTAGACCAGACCTCTGTGAAGTCCTGCCTTACGGCCTGTGGAGCCCTAGCAAGCCAGGCCCCTGAGTGTGGTGGGGTGCGTGAGCTGGGGTACAAGGCTCTCTGGCCTGTGTTCATGCTCTCGTGGGACAGCAGCCCTGAGTCTAGTGCTGAGGGCTTGGCTGGGAAGAGTGGGGGAGGCCTTAGGTAGACACCCAGCCTAGTCAAAGGGGTATCTGTGGTCCTGGCTCTCTGGTTGCCTCCCAGGTAGACACACTGAGGCCTCAGGGGAGAGATCACTGGATGAGCCCCACAGGGCAGAGGGGCAGGTGAGTGGAACCAGGACAGCAGCCTTCAGGACAGACAGTCTGGGACCCCACAAGTGCCCTCAGCAGGGTACATGTATTCTTCTGCCCCTGGGAACGGGGGCACTCTCCGGAACATGGCATCACCCTGGGCGCCTCAGGCGGGGCTGGCCACTAGCTTGGTGGTGAGGGAGTTAACAGCTTCTGTCTGGGAGCAAAACTCCCTGAACTGGCCCTTCACCAGGCCTGCTGGAGATGGGGCCTGGAGACTGGAAGTGGGGGCGTGTGTACCGCCTCTGGCGAGTGCTGGGAGGGGACAGCAGCCCCTGCTCACTCACCATCGCCTGCCTGCCTGTGTGATTATCTTAGACCAGCCTTCTGCTGACTGTCTTTTGAGTCTTCTGCATTTTAGCTTTGGCCTGCCTGTCTGATCCTCTACCTGCTTGTCTGCTCTATCCTCTGCCTACTTGTCTGTCTGTCTGCTCCTCTACCTGCTTGTCTGCCTGTCGGATCCTCTGCCTGCTTGTCCGTCTGTTCACTCCTCTGTGAGTGCTGGCTCCTGGCCTGACCAGCTCTCCATCTGCCCTCCAGCCCACCAACATCCTCAGGGCCATGGCACGAAGTCATGGGACCATAGTCAGCCTGGTGCTGCTGGCGCTGGGCCTGGCCCTGGCCATCATCGTGCTGGCTGTGGTCCTTTCCCGCCGCCATGCCCCTTGCGGCCCCAGAGCCTTTGCTCACGCAGCTGTCGCTGCCGACTCCAAGGTTTGCTCGGACATCGGCCGGTGAGTGGGGTGTGGACGCTCCACAGAACTGCACTGGGAACGGGCAGCGTGAGCAGGAACCTAGGGACCAGGAGGTGCGGGCAGAGGAGCAAGGACGGGACGGCCTCCCGACACCCAGCCGGCCCCGTGGCCCAATCCCTGGATGAGGATACAGGGGACTGACTGAATGTGGGGACCCCTGCCACATCCCCAGCTCCATCTGGAGGAGCCTCCGGCACCATGCTAGCACCCTCCCCCTGGTACTTGAGGGCTGGGGCCTGACTTGGGGGGCGGAGCAACTGTGTGACACTGGGGTCGGGGTGGGGGCGAAGCAGGCGGTTTCCACCCTCTTCCTGGAAGCCCAGCCCCAGGGGGCTCTTGCCCCTCCCTGTGCGTGAGCACGCACCCCCACCCCCACCGGCCCTTACCCCAACCCCCACCCCACTTCCTCAACACTGCTGTCAGCAGGTTTCCTGGAATATGTGCCTCAGAAGCCACTGTGAGGATCAGAGACATTTTGTCACCAGGACACAGCCTATGTGGGGCCGGGGGGCTGGCCCTCCACAGCCTCCCTCTTGGGCTGTGCCTTTGTCCAGCATCCCCGCTCCTCCCACCCCTCAGCGTCAGGCCATCTGCAGTCCCTTCCTCAGCCTGTCACCCCAGGAGATGGCATGAACTCCAGGACCGGGACTGTGTGCCTGCAGTGGTCACTCAGGGAACCTCCTGTCCTTCAGGTGCCACTGGCTCTGAGGAGGTTAGGGTCTTCCCACAGGAGTTGCCTGATGTCACTGGGTGGGGGGCAGGCGACAGTGGTCTCCAGGCCTGCAGACTCCAAGGGGATCTTTTACAGTCCTGCAGGGGAAAGACTTTGCAGGACTGAAGAGAGGGTACCCCACCCCCTGCCCTGGGGGAGGTGAGTGGAGGGAACTGACAGGGAAGACTGAGGGCTGAGAGAGTGCTTTAGTCCCCTAGGGCTACACAGCCAGTGTGCACATGTGAGCCTCCAATTCCTCATCTGTGAAATGGGCACATGTCCCCTTCTCCTGGGAAGGGTGGCTGTGAAAGGCTCTGTCACAACAGCCACTCAGACTCAGTCATTGCCACCACAGTTTAGACCTCAGGCCAGGGCCAACTCTGGGGAGGGCTCTAAGGATTAGGGGTGATCTTGACCTCACCCTCTTCCCTCTCCCAGCCCTACCTAGGCCTCTGGCCCTCTAGCCCCAGGCCAATTTGTCAGAGATGCCTGTGCTTCTCCTGAGGGCTCAAGGTGGTGACACTGCCTGAGGTTCCTTGGGGACAGAGGTGATTGTTCTCAGTGCTGTTGTTCAGGGAGAGAGACAACAGCCAGCACCAGCACTAGCACTGAGCCCTGTTTGGATTTGGTTGGCACACGTGTGTTTTTGCTCCATCGACTGGCACTACTCCACTATTTAGGGACACAGCCACCACCACAAGGCTCCTTGGGGGCCAGTGTATTGGACAGCACATTGATGCCACCCTGCCTTGTTTGGGGACACAAGGAGCAATGTCACACCAGCTGTTGAGGCTGGCCCCACCCCTTCTCTGAGCTTGGGGCCCTTTTTTCCCTCAGCATGCACTTCACATGATTTCTCTGCCTTATAGGGACTACAAGATAATTTCTCCGCCTGGAACAAGCCCCACTTGCTAGTGACTCACTACCACTTGGGGATCGCACTGGAGGCAGTCTGTCTGCTAAGATTTTGTTCAGGACTTTGACTTTAGGAGAAATAGTGATCTGTCCACTATCCTTTCATGGAACATCCTTATCAGACTCTGAGATCAAGGTTCGACCTCATAAAAAGAGCTCTTGTGCATTTTTTAAAAAATTTTATTTAGAAGAGCTTCCCAACAAAGCTTATGAACCTGAAGGGGAGTGTGGGTGTTGTTGTTATGGCTTAGGTCTGGACCCTGATCTATACTGAGCCAACCGTATTGTCTCTGACACACACCTGCCTGCATTACCCTAATCACTGAGTCAGTCCATCTCATCAAGGGTCTTCCTCTCTTGCACTGTCCCTCCACCTTCCCAAGCATGATATCCCTCTCCAAGGATTGGTCCCTCCTTGTAACATGCCCTAAGTATGTCAGACAAAGCTTCAGAATCCTTTACTCCAAAGAGCAGCCTCTTTTCATTCTCTCTGGGATGAACCTGTTTGTTCTTCTAGCAGTCCATGGTATATTTAATACTCTTCTCCAGCACCATAGCTCAGAGGCATCAATTCTCCTATCATCCCTAGTCATTGTCTAGCTTTCTGATGCACAGCAAGTAATTGTGAAGACCATGGCCTGGATCAGGCACACCTTAGTCTCCAGACTGAGATCATTGATCTTCAGTACTCTGGAGAGGTCCCAGACAGCAGATTTTCCCCAGTGCAGTTTGTCTTTTGATTTCTTGACTTCTGGTACCAAGAGTGTTGATTATGGAGCCAAGCAAACTAAAGCTGTTAACATTCCCAATCTCTTCACTGTCTATCATGATGCTGCCTAATGGCCCAGTGGTGAGAATCTTTGTTTTCTTGATATTAAGTTTAAGACCTTGACCTTCTGCAGCAAATGTGTCAGGCTCTCCTCAGTTTAGGCAAGCAAGATTGTGTCATCTGCATAATGTAGGCTGTTAATGAATCTTCCTCCAATCCTGAAGCTATATTCCTCCTTATAGAGCCCATCCTTCCAAATGATCTGTTCCACATATAGATTAAGAAGGTATGAAGATAAGACACATGCTTGGCATACACCCTTTCTGATTTTGAACCATGCAGTGTTTCCTTGCTCTGTTCTGATGACTGTCTCCTGGTCCAAGTATAAGTTCTGCATAAGCACAATCAAGTGTTGTTCTGGGATTCCCATTCTTCTCAGAGTCAGCCACAGTTTGTTGAGATCCATTTAGTCAAATGCCTTTGCATAGTCAAGGAAACACAGATAGACATTCCTCTGGTTCTCCCTGTTTTCAGCCAAGATCCATCTAACATTGTCTATAATATCTGGCAGTTCTCTATTGATGTGCTGTTCTAGTTGGTTTTGAATAATTTTCAGCAGAATCTTGCTTGCAGGTAATGTTAATGATATTGTTTGATAATTTCTGCATTCTGTCGGGTCACCTTTCTTTGGAATGGCAACGAATATAGATCTCTTCCAGTCAGTTGGCCAGCTGGCTGTCCTCCAGATTTCTTAGCACAACTTGGTGAGCACATCCAGGGCAGCATCTGTTTGTTGAAATATGTCTATTGGTATACCATCTATTCCTGGGGCCTTGTTTTTTTGCCAATTCCTTCAGAGCAGCCTGAACTTTTTCCTTCATCACCACACAAAACATAAAGAAATTTTCTATTTCCTCCTCACTGCTGTGGCTGTGGAGCCAACTGTCCACTGAGCCTCCAGCAGGTTTCTGAAGCTGTTGCGTGGGAGGAGATTTCCCGGCTTTAGTGGCCTCTGTTTATTTAGCTGCTGATGAAATGATCCAGTTTCTATTTCTTGTGTCAGTTTTGCTAAGTTCATCTCAAAGAACTTGTTTGTTTTAAGCAAATTGTCAGGTTGACTGGTATCCAGTTGTTCTGGGGTCAATTCCTGATAGCTGGAACGAACTCGTGTTTTCTCTTTCTTCTTAATCACTTGTGTTTTCTCAAGGGTGGGTTGTTTTTTTAAAGAATCAAATTTTGGGTTTGTGAGGGTTTTGATTAGGGAGTTCTCGTGGCTTGTTGTTGGGTACTGTAGAGTTGCAGCTTCTTGCCCCTAGGCCACCGGAGCTTCCTCAACAACAACTTTTTAAAAAATTATTATTATTTTATTATGTTTTGTGTGTGACTGGTACAGATGTCCCTTCTTCTCCAGCAGAGAATCTGGTGGATTCAAACTGCATACATCTATGATTGCAGTTTAGCTTCTTGCCACTAGGCCACCAGAGCTCCTTAATAACAACTTTTGAACTTAGGTTCCTATTGTATTTGATGTCTACATTTTGAGAAACGAATGATGAGATAGGGATAGGATATTGCCCTCTTGTGACAAGGAGCTTGAGGACACAGTGATTAAACCCTCAGCTGCCAAGGAACAGGTCAGCAGTCTGCGTCCCCCGCGTCTCCTCAGGACAGAGGTCACCATGTCAATCCACCCGGTTGAGGATCTTCCTCTCCCTTGCCGTCCCTGCATCCTTCCAAGCATCATGTCCCTCTCCAAGGAATAGTCCCTCTGGTTGATAAGTCCTTTAATCCTGATGCCACATTCTTCTTAGAGTCTGGCTTTGTGAATGATTTGCTCAGCATACAGATTGGATAGGTGTGGAGAAAAGGAACAGCCATATTCCTGTTACTTCCCTAATAAAGCCCGTAATTGTAGGGGTGAGAATGTGAACAGAGGCCTTGTGTTCTTCCTGTCGCCTCCCACCAGGGGACAGACACCATGCTGGCGGTGTGCTCATTTGCTCCTGTTCAACTTACTAGAATGGGGGTTGGTACTTTGAGGTCATGTGAAATTTCGCCATGTTTTGTCTTGTGGCATCTGTTTTCATCCTTCTTCACTGTGGAGAAAGGTGGCTTTCTTCCTCTGCTGCTTCTCTGCCTACCACCCCGGAGGCCCCTGCTTGCAGCCCGACCTCCCTACCTTCCCCAGTCGACTCACCAGTGTGTGGTCAATCATCACTGTGATTGTTTTGTGTTGTGAATCTGTGACACGTGGCTCCTCTTCACGGGGTCTGGAATGCCTGGCACAGCTGTTCCTTGTGTAGCCGCATCTCTCCAGCACACCTTCCTTATCTGAGGAAACTTTGTTCTACTCCTTGTTATCTTTCCCCATGATGATATAAGGAGTTGCTTGGAGTATTTGCACTGGGACGTCCCCTGTGTGGCCTGGCCAGGCCATGATCCATCTCCGCTTTCTCCATGCCTTTCTCCTTCCTCTCTGCTCTGTCCCGTATCCTTCTGTTCTGGGCAGCATCTCAACCCAGGCCCCATCTGGACAATATCCTTATTTCAGTGGGTTTGAGAGTCTCAGGGCTTGGAGCTCTC